GAGGTAGTCCAGATCATATCAATGTGCATAAAATGTTACCATCTGGTATGTGTGTCTCTGTGCTATACTTCGAAAAGGAATAAGAAAAATAGCTACCATAGTGATATAGACCTGTAGATTGTGGGGTTTTTAAATAAAAACTGCTTAGGGCCTATAAAATAAACTTTCGCTCGTTGGTAACTTTCTTATATTGCAGGAACTAGCACTGAGATTGGTGCCAATAATTGGCTTCAGTAGAAGAATTTATTATTAATAAATTGATCTATTGTTTGCTCGATAGTTTATTTGGTTTGAAATAACACAATTTCTTATCCCAAATATTGGACAATTATGCAGTCTTCCTTAAAAATCTGTAGAACTCTGAGAGCAGGAGCTTAAAGATCTGGAATTGCAATGAAAGCAGGATGAATTTTTCAGACTCTTGTTAACTGATTATTTTTGCCCTTCTCCTCATCCCTCAAAGAACTGCCTTACACACGAATGTTACAAACTGTATTAGGTCAAAAATCTAACCGGAGGCTGCAGAGATGTAAATTAGTCCTGTCATCTGATTATTAAAAGACTTTTAAAGACTCCACTGAGAAAAATAAATTCCTCTCCAAATTCCAATGACGCTCTCGAGCCATTTGCCAATGTTTAGTGTGTGTCATAGCTTTGATTAATAATTAAGTTTGTATTAGAAGAAAAATCCCAGATGTCATTGTTTTTATTCTATGTTTTGATGGTATAGCACACTTAAATGAACCATGCTGCTTGTCACAGTTGCCAGCACCACTTGAACAAAGGAGAAATCGGTGATAGTTTTTGGTCTGGAGTATAAGCACAACCCACATGAGATTCTCATTTATTCTGGAAGCCTTTCACAACAAACAGTAAACTGTACTTTTGTACAAAAAGCATCAAATAAGGGGTGGGGAAGAGCTCCTTTGTAGTACTATGATGTATTTGCTAAATTCTATGTAGTATAACCAAGTAAACCCACAAAACATTCAATTATAGTTAATCATTGGTGAGTGTATGAAAACAGTCCACATCATTAATTGAAAAAACCAAAGGACAAGAGGTGACTCATTCTGGTGTCTACAGAGCTGATGAGAGGTATTACTTTCCTGACAGTAAAGGCCTGGAATTTCCAGTAAAATTAAATGGAGCCTATATTGCAATTTCACAGTCATTTTTGTTCTTAATTAGCAGTTACATTTTGATAGACAATCTGAATGCATGTAATAGTTCCTCTTGGTGAAAATGCTTTTGTTGGAAGAAAACCTGGCTGGACTATTATTATAAAAGCAATCTCCATTCCTTGCCCTAAAATGGGCATTTTAAATGGTTATTTTGAAAATAGAATATTGTGTCTAAACATTCGTTAGGTATTGCAGGTCACTTTGAAAAACCTTCACCTTTATCATATGGCAGGCTGTTACACAAGTGTTGCTTTACATCAGTGTAGGTTTTTGTCAGAATCAGGAGTGTGGAGTTTAGTCCTGACTGTACCTCACCGAGGAATCTCACCCTGGATGAACCTGTAAGAAATTCTGGGATCCCACAAAAGTGAGAGGTGGCAATGGTGCCCTCTCTGATTTCATTTCAGATGACAGGAGAGTTAGCCCTTCCCAGTGTGTGTCACTTTGAGAGAACGTGGTTCCACTTGTATTGTTTGTGCTGTGATGGAGGTAGGTCAGTGTATTTGCACCCATGTGCTGCAGCTTCTTTGCCTTCCATTTTCTGCTGGAACAAGTGATTTGGAAACATCTGATATCCAGACCACTGAAGTGATCCACTTTTCAAATTGTTGCAGTCATTCTGTTGGTTTTTTTTTAGAGTTTTTGGGGGGAGTATTTTGATTTTTATGTGGGAGGGGTATTATGTTAGTTTGTAGAAACACATTCATGGATGTGAAGGAGGGAGACAGTAATGGAGCGGGGAAATGGGAAATTCCTAATCTGGTTTCAGTACGACAAGCACACCTGTGTTTTTTAAGGAGAAGTGATGGACTTCCAAAGGCTGTTTTGCTCTCCTGCTGTGAGACCATACAGGCCTCATATAGGAGCAGTAGGGACTTGCTCAGTGTCTTTACTTCACTCCCAAGAGTGCACTTCTAAAAGGCCAAACCCCATGTCATTCCAAATTAGCACTGAATGGTCTTCCCTCTTCTCTGGTCCTTTGGCACATAGCAGGATCATAGAATCATTTAGTTTGAAGTAACCCCTTGAGATTATCTGGTCCAACTCCCTGCTCAAGCAGGGTCACCTAGAGCAGGTTGCCCAGGATCATGTCCAGTCAGATTTTGAATATCTCCAAGTACAGTGACTCCACAGCCTTTCTGTGCAACATGTTCCAGTGTTTGACCACCCTGTTCCCAAGTAATTTACTGCTTATGAGGCTTTGAGGAGATTTTGCCAGGTTTTCGCAGGAAGTCAGCAGGACTGGAAAATGATCCTAGCTGAAACTTGTTTTGTCTCCTGCCTTTGATACTGGCTCAATATCTGCAGCACTGGATAGAGAATTTAAGCATGAAGGACACATTTGCACCTAGACCCATGCAAAACTAAGTTTTTTTCACTTTTAAAATGGGTGAAGCTGTTTGCCCAGACATAACCTCTGTACATGGATAGAGATTCCATGCTCAGCCATATACCATGTATTTTGCCTGGCCGTAAAGGCTCGTTGGACACTTACTGGTCTATAGCTGGTTGTGGTATTATTAATGAGGTTATTGAAAACTTGCTGTAGATAAACTATGCAGTCATCTTTCTTGTTGCTCCATCTTTCTGTGGTTAAGAGTTTCTTTCCCCATCGTTTTCATTTTCCTCCATCCTTCAAAATTTCTCCTCTACAGTGAAATGTTTCCATTTTGCTTTTTCTCTCTACCTGAAAAGAATTTTGTAATCTCTTGGGATATTACAAATAACAGCATGTAGTCAGAAACTGTGCATCAGAAGTAATTAAATTTCAGAGGCTTCATGGTGTTCATAAACTGAAGAATTTCTGTTGTACCAGTTAGGTTTTCAGCAGAGCCTTGTGATTAAATTGCAGAGGGGTGGACAGTCCAGGACTGCTTTTAAGAGGATAATAATGTTTCTTACTTCAGAGAAGATGCAAAGCATAATTAATTTGTCCTTGTACAGTGCTTTTAGGTCCTAGGATAGGAGAAATTTTGTGTACTGTTATTACTTGTAATTAGAAATAGAATCCCTTTAAATTGAGCTGTCCAGAAATTAGAAGTAGGCATGAATATTCCTGGTGAATGTATTAAGAGTAAAACATCATGGTAAATGTATGTAAATACACAAAGATGAAATCTTGATGAACTGATAACAGAATCAAAAGCAGCCAAAAGGCTTTTCAAAGGCATAACTGTGCCTGAAATAGTGGTGATTTGTATAGCCTTCCCATGGTCCTCTCTAGTCAGTTTTGAAAAACTAGCAGCTCACTTTTTACAGTCACATAACCTGAGGGTGTCTTTTTTTTCTTGACATTGCATTGACATCAGGGTCGAGTAGAACAACATTTCATAATGGATGAGCTCTGTAAAGGATAAAGCCTGTCCTTGTGCATTATCCTTCCTGTGTGTTGTATTTTTGAAATTGAGTTGTTTCAGTGTCAGCCTGTTTTATTTCCCTTGAAGTGGGTTTCTGGCGCTCTCAGAGATCATTTGATGAACTACTGCTAGAAATGAACTTGTTTCACTCTCCCTTGACCCACTTGGGGGTCCTTGCCCTTCACCATACCTGTACAGGAGGGCCTCACTGTGGATTCGGTGGGCCCTAGGGCTAGTTCACGTAGACTTGGTTGTTGTTTCAGAGCTTCAGTGGGCTCTGACTTGTCTTGTGCTTGCTTTGCTCTCCATGTGTAGTGTAAGCTATGGAAGAGAAGATAAGGTTGGTTGTCTCACTGAGCTACACCCAGTCCTTGCACTTGATTCAACAGTGGATAGTCTCACTGACAGATTATCAGCAGAAAGGCAAATTGTATTGGTAGAACAAACTGTGCTTATTTCCAGGAGGGACTAGTTGTCAGAACAAAAAGCTGTACTGCCTAGGAAGCCCAGCCACTTAAAAACTTGTGCGTGCCTAGCAGTTGCCCCTATCTCTGTACATGTCCTACCTTCATCTCTCCAGTCTGTTCACTTCTGCACCCCCTCATATTCTTGCTGCCACTACCTGAGCTGGGGAAAGAGGAGTGTAGAAGGTCTCTTAGGAGGGTGAGCTATTAGCCATCTTTTTCTTCCTGAGTGCCTTGCAGGAAACCTGAACCAGACAATGGCAAATAAAATGTGGAAAACTCTCCTTTCTTAATCAAATGAAGTATTTTTACTGAATTATCAGATGCTTTTCAGGTGGCCTCTTTCCTTTTAATGCACGATAGCATGACCTTGCTACCGCTAATCTCTTTGCTTTTCAGCTTGTTCAAAGCATTCACTGTGGAGCCTCATATACCTTTGTGTTTCCTGTGCTATAATTATACTGATAATTCAGCTAAGATTAAAGTCTTCTGGAGGTAAGTAAGTAGAGCAGAAACACTTTCTCTGCTATAAGCTAATTTTGCTACTTACCTAGATTCCCACCCCACCTTACATTGCACACATTGCGAGCTGTGATCACTTGGTTTATGTCTCAGACTGCTCCTGCTTCTCTGTTGCCTTCACCTGGGATCTGATCCACCCAGGTCTGTGTCCTCCCTCCAGCAGGGAACTTGCAGCTAGTGCTGCTGCCTCTCTGGTACAATTTCTTCATCTCCTTCCTATGAGAACAGCATCCAAGCAGTATCCCCCATCCCCTCCCTTTTTTAAAGTGCTAAATAATGCTACTTGAGAACTTCAGCTTGCCTGGGTTTTTTTTTTTTTTTTTGAAAGCAAGTGAGAAATGTATTAATATTTAATCCAAATAATTTGGAAGAACTTGAAGCTACAATTAGATAGCCATAGCCATCTGTTGTGAGCAGCAGAACAAAAATTTATTTAATAACTTGGAAAGAGAAAAGGGACTGCCAATCACCTATAGATTTATTCCTTAATAAAGCTTGCACAGGCTCTGCAGAGGGAGATCCAGGTGGTGAAGGAGACACTCCAGACCGTGCTGGTGCAACTTCAGCCAGCCAGGGAGGCAGGAGAAGAAAAGGCTGGAGACTTCCCCTGTGACAGCTGGTGTCCAGGAAAACAAGACTTGAAGGAATAATGAGCAGAAAGAGCTGGTAGGATGACATTAATTCGCAAAGGGCTGCTATTAGTAACTGAATACTGTTTTACCAAGCCTCAGGGATCTCTTCTCTCCCTGCATAACTAATAACTAAATCAATTATGGAGAAACAGAGCCTGGAGGTCTATCATCAGAAATACTCTACACAGCCTCACAAGTTTTGGCACAGATTGGGAAACAGCTTTCAGAGCAGAGCAGCCCCTGTAAATGTGTAGATTACAAATTGATACATTCCAAGTGAGTCTGCAAAGTTGCCTCTAATGTCAGTGAAATGTTCTCCTTGAAGACTCGTAAACAGTATCTGTCTTCCTTACTCATGGATTATTTTTTTTCCTGATTTAAAAATGTAGTGTTAAATCTGGAACATCTAGTATTTCTTGAAAAATAGCTGTAAGACTAATAAGAACTTTTTTTCCTTTGGCTTTTAACAGCTTTCCTACACTGAATGTATTTTTGCATTCCTGTCAATAATTAAATCAATAGGATGAAATTCAAACTAACCCAAGTTCTTTCAAGTGAAATTTGGACCTCATTTACTCTGTGGTATTGAGTACAGTGGAGGTAACTAACAGCAGCCCCTGTAGCAGTAGTTTACCTCTCTCCGTTTAGGTATGCTTTAGCATTGAAGGGGTTGTAAGGCACAAAAAATGACTATGTTGGTGATTTGTGTTCCTTGTATTTAAATATTGTATGAATAATAAGTCATTTAAGTCTCCTTGTAAAGTTTATTGCTACTATTATATTACTTTGATCTTCCTTATAAACTTCAGAAAGAGTGCAGATTTTTTTTTGCCAGAGACACATACATGTATATATACATATACTTAAACATGTATTTTTATAGGAAATAAAAGCAATGCTTAACTGAAGCCAACTAATGTAAATGAACTATATTTAGATCATTATTCAAAACAGTTAATGCTTTTAGGAATTCATTGTATACCCTTACTTGGATACCAATATATTGCTGGTGTCATAAAAAATTCTGCTTCTGCCATTTGTTGCTGAGGTAGAATTTAAAAAAGAAAATTTTTTAAGCCAATAGGTGAAGGAAATGACTTGCAACTCAGTACTGTACTTTCTAATACTATTTTTCTGACTTTTTTTAGAATTACTTTTTTTTCCTGCTACTTCAATTACTCATTTTATAACCACATTGTGAAGGTTTTTGCAAACTTTGAAGGTCATGGGACTACTCGCCCACTAAGATTCTGTTCATTTTCTTAACAGTAGTTGAAACTTCTACCTCAATGTTAAATACATAAGAAGAAAGGAAAAAAAAAAAAGGTTGTAATTGCATCCAGGCACATACAGTTGTCAAACTGGGGAGCAGAGTTCAGGTGGTTTCTGTAGTCATCGGATCCTCAGGGTGGAATTACAACCCTGTAATTCAGAACACGGTTGACTTTTCTCATTGTGTAATGTATGGGCCAGCATCCGTGTTGCAGTAAACTTGGATCTCCACCGTGCATGGGTTCTGCTACTCTATTCCCATCACCAGTGTCAAATGGAGATCTCCTGCTGCTCTGCTGCTGCTCTATTTGACAAGTTTCTTTCTCCAAGCTTTTTTGGACAGTCCCTGTTCAATACCTACCTCCCCATAGTAGATTTGGTGCTTTCTAGAACTGCCCGAGGTAGATTGGCAAGCCATTTGTCTCCAGCTCAAGGCAGCCCAACAAACACAGGCAGCAGCCTGTGGCATCCTGACATTCAGCCCTCGCACTGGACCGGCATTCCCTGGGAAACCCTGGCTGGGCACACGTAGCCTGGCTGCCTGGGGACAACTGTCAGCCAGAAAGCACTCATGGAAACCCGTGTGAATCAAGTAAACAGAAAAGAAAGCACACTGACAAAATAAGTCTCTTATAGCTGTTTCCTTAAGACCTGTAGAAGCTCCTTGTGGCTTAACACCACAGGTACTGAGTTTCCAGAAATGACCATTTATACAGGATGATGAGGACACTCCCAGAGATGAGGGCCAGTATGCTAAGGTTACATACCCCCACCTCTCCCACACACTGAGGGGTGGGTGGAGTTTTGTCCTTTGAGTAACTAGTGCCTGCACTGTAAGTAGGGCTCACCAACTATTAAGTGCCTTAGAGCCAGGATCAGGCACAGCTGAAGCGCAAAGTCTGCCTCCTTGCAGCAGCAAGGACTCAACAACAGCGATAGTAACCAGCCATTGCAGAACAGCACCCTCATTCTCACTAGAAAGGTTTCTTGAAGACATTCCCATTCAATTAAAAAAAAAAACCACAAACCTGTGGTTTGTGTTTCACAGCTTCAGAGAACTGCTGCATTTTAATAAAAACTCAACTTATGCAACCACTCTAATAAGACACTGAACTCCCAAGGAGAAGGGAAACTGAATTAGTCATCATTCATGTCATATTTGTATCTGTTAACATTTATTTTTTACAATATATGGACTACTACTACTTTAATTTATTATTCCATTAACTTCACTGTTTGTTGTGGGAAGTTAGAGCTAGTAATCATTCCTTTTCTCAGACATGCTGAATAATAAGCATACTAAAAAGAAAAAGTGGACTATGCAATGTATCGGCTGCCTTTTATCTGTGGAGAGAAAGCTTTCAAATAAAGAGAAGTATGTTTTTAACTAGCCCAATGTCTGTTTGCATTCTGTGCAGTGTGCAAGATTTTATAAATTTCGTTCTGGAGCAGGGGGGCAGATGGGGAGGGGAGGAGAGGAAAGGAGAAACCATGTGTGTGACTATTACTGTTCTGTCAACAGCAGCAATTCCTCTGCTTGGCAAATTCTGTGATGCCTTCTGGAAACAGTCTAAAGATGCATCCAAGACTAGAGTCTCACAGTGAAATGTAGCTATTTTCAGTGTGAAAGGGAGAGAAATAAAATACAGTGAGCTGTACAGACAGGTAAAACCTGTGCTTGAGCCCTGGCTTGACTCAGCCAGTCTTGCTGTGCAACCAAATCCTTCCTGCCCACCCTCCCTCAGTCCCTCACCCTTAGAAAAGGGTTAAGGGAAGGGAAGTATGACTGCATACTGGCTACAGCACTATCTGAGGTTCGAAGTCATGCTCTCACACACCCTCATGGCCATGAGGAGAGGTAGGAGAGAGTGCATGTAGTGTCCCAAGGACCAGTTTCACACATGCTTGCTAGGACACTGCCACCTCCAGGCGGACTGGCCTCCCACCACCTGCAAACAATGAATCTCACCAGAAATTAGCCCTGTTTCTTCCTGGGACATGCTCTCCCTAAGACCCCAGCTGTCCGAGTTTTGAAGAATAGAGAGGCAGCTAGGCTTTGTGTGCAAAAACCTCCGACACAGCAAGGAATCATAGAATCATTCAGCTTGGAAAAGACCCTTAAGGTCAAGTCCCACTGTTAACCCAGCGCTGCCAAGTCCACCACTGAACCATGTCCCTAAGCACCACACCTACACATCTTTTAAATACCTCCAGGGATGGCGAATACAGCACTTCCCTGGGCAGCCTGTTCCAATGCTTGAGAACCCTCTCAGTGAAGAAATTTTTCCTACTGTCCAATCTAAACCTCCTGTGGCACAGACTTGAGGCTATTTGCTCTCAACCTATCACTTGTTACTTGGAAGAAGAGACAAAGACCCACCTCACTACAACCTCCTTTCAGGTAGCTGTAGAGAGCTATGAGGTCTCCCCTCAGCCTCCTCTTCTCCAGGTGAAACAAATCCAGTTCCCACAGCTGCTCCTATAAGGCTTGAGCTCTAGACCCTTTACCAGATTCATTGCTTTTCCTAAGCACATGCAATAGACTGCTCAAGCAGAGCTGTGAGATGAGGATAGCTCACCTCGAGCAGTCCATTGCACGTGCTTTGGAGAAGTAATTGATTGTGTTTAATACACACACAGCCCCAGTGTACAAACATATTCTCAAGGTACTAAAGAAGAAAGTGAGGAGGAGACAGCACCCAAAGGGTGTTTAGCTCCAGCCTAATATTTTTTTTTTCCCCCACAATCAATTAGCTAATCTCTTCTTTCTAAAGCATGACAGCTCAGGCTTACTTTCTCTATCATTACTTGTTAAATCAAGATAAGCACATCTTTTCTAGAGCACTGGAGAAGGCAGTTCAATAATGGGTCCCAGATAGACAGTAGTGCTGGAAGGAGCTCCAGGGTGAGATTAGAATAATCCTCATGTATCCTCTTAGTTTGCTATCCTATTAAAAATAAGACTGGGACCAAGAGATGGTTTTTTTTAGGCTCAGGGATTAACACACTACAAAGAAGCTCTAAAATATTATGCACATGTGGATATTTTTCTGCACTGTTAAGGAAGATAATACAAGTTTCTAGAGCAATATTTAAAAAAAAAGAAAAAGAAAAAGAAAAAAGGACCTGTGAATATAGGAGATTCTTTCTGAACTAGAAAAGCAGCCAAGCCAGCAGCCACAGTAAAGCATTTCTCTCTAATTTCTAATGAAGGCTTGAATATGAGGCCTGGGAAAAGAACATCTGGGGTTGAGTGAGTAAGGAAATGTCAGAGTTCTTCACATGCATGGTATTCAGTCACTGTCTTCTTGTCTGGAAGAGGAGTGTGTTAGGCAAAGGGGTGTTGGGGCATTGTCAGAGACAAACACAAAGTCAATACATCACTAGGCAATTTGTTCATATAATCGCCAGCAAAGTTGAACAAATACTTTATAATAATAAGCAGCCATGCATGAATGTTAGGTGGAGAGAGAATATGAAAATAACCAGAGTCACAACTAGGAGACACACGATAGAATCTCACTGGAGATATAGAAAATTAAGAGACTTGTCCACAGCAACAATCCAGTTTACAAGGGGAAGAAAATCTCAAATTTATTACTTTTCTGACAATAAGACTATGAAACACCAAAGGTATCCCCTCAAGGTTTTCTTGCTCAGTAGGCTAAAGACTTTAAGTGTATCATCATCTCAATCCGAAAACATAGAGCTTTGTGACCACTTTCAGGCTTCCTTGTAGGAGCAGCCCCAGTGCAAGACTTGGGAGCAGCAGCCTGGAGCCAAGCACAGCTCTGTGTGTAGGAGCTCCTTGAGGACTGTGCTGGGAGTCCGTGTCACAGGGACTGGGTTAGAGATACCAGGGCCAACCTGTTCCACTCCTTGGGGGCTCAGGTCATGATAGGGACACATCCATCTTACTATTATGTGCTCCTTCAGAAAGTTAAAAGTTCTCTTTTCCTATTGTTTTTGCTTTAAAGTATATTTTCAGAAAGTTCCTCATGCATCCTCCATGACCTGAAATTTAGAAGGACCAGGATTGTTTAATTTCTCCTGGCTCAAACACAGTAAGGTCAAGCAACGAGACCTATTTGTTCTTGGCTGTTATCTCATGAGTCTGGATCATAGCATACTACTTTGCTTTCAATAACGTGAGTTCCTGGAGCAGTAGCTGGCTGGTTGACCAGGCTATTTCCCCCACTTAGCTGGGCAATGTTGAAGAGCAGGAACATAGCATTGCCATCCTCACACGGCACTGACAAGACTTTCAGCGCTGCCAACTCCGCTGCCCCCAAAAAGTAAAAGCAGACAAGGTTTCAGGAAAAGATGTACAAAAATGGTTAGGAAAAACCTGACTTCCTTACAACAGAAGACCAGCAAAGCTCAGCACAAATAACTTAGTTAACTGAAG